GTGGTGACAGCTGATACCCTTCTTGTGAATCTTTAGGGGGAAACATTGAATCTTATTATTAACTATGATGTTAGCAGTAAATTTTTAGTAAATGCACTTCATCAGGTTGTATAGGTGCCTTTTTATTCCTTATGTGCTGAGAAGTTTATCATAAATAGGGGTTGAATTTTCTTAAATGCTTAGTTTTTGCGTTTGTTCATGCCATCGTATTTTTCTTCTTTAGTTTGTTAACCTGGTGAATTATACTGAATGATCTTTTAATTTTAATGTTCAATCAACTTGTATTCCTAGAATAAATCCCTATTGGTTGTGGTATTTTATTTTTTTTCCAAGTTACTGAATTTGATTTGGTAATATTTTGTTGAGAATTTTTGCATCCGTGAAGGATAATTATCTATAGTAATTCTTCTCTCGTGATCTCTTTGTCTGATTTTGTTTTCAAAGTAATGCTGGCATCATGAAAATGAGTTGGAAATTGTTCCCTCCTGTTCTGTTTGTGTAGAATTTTTTCCCACTCTTTTCCTATCTAATTTCAGCTTTGATAATCTCTTGACCAATTTTCAAGTTCATTGATTGTTTCCTCAGCTGTGTCAAGTCTGTTGCTGAACCTGTCAGAGGCTTTTTAAAATTTTGTTACTGAATTTCTCAGTCTTTAGCATTTCAGATTGACTCTTTTAGCTTTTCTGTTCAACTTTTGTAGTCTCAATGATATTTGCCATCTGATCATACCTATTGCTTGCCTGTTCCATTTGATCCTTCATTATTATTAATAATTATTTTAATTCATTGGCTGATAGTTCCAACATTTTAGTTATGTCTTAGTCTGCTTCTGTTGACTATTTTGTCTCCTGACTGATTTGTTTGCCCTTGAGATTTTGTGTAGCTTATAATTTGGGAAGGGTGAGGGTGGCTTACCAAATTACTTTATTTGAAGGAATGATGAAAACAAAAGAATTTAAGGAGATATTTTTGTACAACTTATAGAAAAGGCAGTGGTAATCTCAATATGCATGCATTACCTTGGGGACCAGGGAAATCACCCCTATATCCAAGCTTATGCTTTTTGATTGAATGTCAGCTCTCATTTGCAGGATAGTAGAGATTGAAGTACATAGTATTTGTGTTAAGAAATGGGTATGACTCTTGTTCTGCTAAGTTGTTTGAGTTGTTTGTGCATGGGTTTGAACCAGTCTTGCCTGGAGTTGATTGGGTTTACGGGGGGGGTTCCTTGCTTTGGTTATATTCAGTGCATCATCAATTTTAAATACTTCTATCATCATTTTGTGCTTAATGGGTGGAGGTTGATTTGCTGAGAAGTTTTAACTCAGTGTTTTTTTTAATTTCACCAAATCCTTAGGACTTACTTATATATCTGTACTTCAGAGAGGCTGTCTATGAGCACTTTAATTTTTTTTTTTTATACTGGAAGCTAATTTGCCTTATAGTGGTGAGCATGGATCATATCTTTTGTCCTAGACCAACATTAATTGTAGGCAGGTTCTGTTTCCCTCTCTTCCTAGTAATCCTGCTTTTTCCCCACTAACAGTAGACCTCTGTTGTTTGGGGCCAGGGTATTTTCTGTCCCTCCATCAGGAGTAGATATTGTCATCTAGTTTTGAAAGGATTATGAAAATTTGAATCATAAAACTACTAGAAGAAAATATAAAAGAATACCTACATATTTTCTTAGCATGATGTAAGGTTGAAACATAAAGATACTAGCATATTTGTAAAAAAATTTTAAAAACTTGTGAATATTAAAAGCAAATTGCAAGTAGGGACATAAACATCCATGTAAATTTCGATTTAAAATCAAATGAAATGATTGTTTTAAAATAATTTTTGCAATTAAAATAGCTGAAAAAAGGACTTTTAGGTGTTATAACCAAAGAACATAAAGGCATGCAAATTAAAGGTTTCGGATATAAAGCTTATTTGTAATGCAGAGAATCTCAAAAATTCCTCCATCTGAAGTTAGTTCTGGTAGATTAATATGATAGCATTAAAGCAAATTTAGAGAGCAAAGGAAGCAATTCTATAGTGCTGTTCAAAAATTGTTATTTAATTGGGAAGTCCTTTGGTCTGTATTATTTGTATGTATGTATTAATGATCAATATATTTATTTTCTGTGAGACCTTTGAGATAGAACCTTTCTGGCTAAACACATTTGTTTTCCTAAAGCAAGATTACTTTTGTCAATCCTTTAACATTTTTTTAGCTTTGAAACTACCATATGACAGGAGAGGATACTTTGCTACTTGATGAATTATTCACAAGTCTTAATTGCAAGCTTTTAGGAACCTTAAAGATTATATTAGCCTCTACATGTTATATATTATTGCTAGAGAAGCAAAGTCGTTTGTCCAAAATTAGTGGTAGAAGTAACCTAGACTTGTTTGACTCCTGTTCTTTGATTATACTATATGACTGCTAATTTCTAATTTGCTACATTTGGGATATACATCTTAAAACATCCATTTCTAAAGGGCTATATGGGATGGGAATTGACCAGTTGTAACCTAAGTGTGTATTTTCTGAAAAGTGAAGTTGGTTAGCCTTTTGAGTATTTCTCTTGGCCATTTAATGTTCGGTAATATAAAAATGTGTCCTGGAGTAACAGAATGGTTGGGGGATATTGATTTCAACTTTAAGTTTGTAGTTAAGGTTTTTTTTGTTTTTTTTGTTTTTGTTTTGTTTTGTTTTGTTTTGTTTTAGGTCTGGTTTTCATATTTGTCAGCTGCTATTTTAAGGGAAAAATCTAAGGCCTCTCTTCTGTGAGCTTCTGTGAACACAGGCCTTGGAATTAGAACACTATTTTATACACTCTATTTAATTGAAAAAATAAATTATCTGTTGTAGTGAAGCATATGTGTAGCTAGAAGACAATGCTTTCCTTTATATGGAGTCATTTATTTTTACTGCATATTTATGTTTTGTAGTAGGTTATAAATCTTATTATATGTAATCATGTGGCCTTTTCTAGAATGTGCCAAAGAAAAGAATGACTAAAGATTCCCTATATTTTTACTGCTAGATCTTGTTTTGTTTTGGTTTCTTTGAAGCCAGATGTCATTAATTTGAGAAATATGCCTCAGAGCTGTATGTTCTTGATCAAAAAGTTCCTTCATTATGTAGAATCTAGCTGCATCTTTGGGGAAGAACATATTTGAGGAAGAAGTATAGATAGCATGCTGAGGTTTTGAGTCAGTATTTTTAGCTTAGATTTTACTTTGACTTTCCCTGTTTATAGCTTTAAATGTAAGAATAGAAGTTCTTTCCTTAATTACTTCTCATGGACATGAGCAGAAGTGTTCTTTAGAACTTTAAGGTCTGTTACAACTAATATGTGGCTAAGTGAAATCTTATGAGAACAATAGGAACATAACCCTTTAGGAACCTAACCTGTTCATACATGAAAAAGCTAATATAGCAGTTGAAGATGCAAAATGCTGACTGCCATGTAGCATATTTTAATAGTAGTTAATAGCTGAAGCATTTATGAGAGGGATGATGAAAAAAAATGGACACCCCGGGAAGATCTTGCTGAACGCTCAATTTGGCAGCTCAATGGCAGTTTATTTCATTCTTGCTCATAGCTCCTCATTTCAGGAGATTAGGAAAATTCCAATGTTTTGTGCATTCTTTCTAAATTAAAAAATGGACTGTACCACCCAGGTCCCCCTAAAGTTTCATTTTTAATAGAAAATGTTGAGGGCGTCTGGGTGCCTCAGTTGTTAAGCATCTGTCTGCCTTTGGCTCAGATCATGATCCCAGGGTCCTGGGATCCAGCCCTGCATCGGGCTCCCTGCTTGGCGGAAAACCTGCTTTTCCCTCTTTCATTCCCTGCTTGTATTCCCTCTCTCACTGTCTCTCTCTCTCTGTCAAGAAAATAAATTAAAAAAAAAAAAAAAAAAAGGCAAAAGAAAATGTCAAAAAGAAGTGGTAGGTTCCTGTGCAGCCAGAATATAAATTGGAAACTGCCTAACAAAAGCAGAGAGCATACAGTTAAAAGGCTAAGTGGAGATTGCTTTTCTCTCTCTTTCCTTTCCTTCTTTCTACTTTTCTTTCTTCATTTTCTGTCCTCATTCCACATGTCCACTAAGAGGACACTAAGAAAATTATGTTTATACATGGGCTTCATCAAAGAAATTGAGATTGTTCTCTTTAGAATACTAAGAATAGACTGGTGTTTTAGATATATATTCAGGATCATTTTTAGGTTTGCATCAGATTGGTTGGTAATGAAATGAATGTTTTTCTTGTGAATTGTAACTCTTTCTTCATGTCTATACTTTAGAAACGATCCCCAGGAACAACTGTGCTTTCTTGGGAAGTCCCAAGTTTTATGAAGGTTTTATGTTGTATCTCCATAGTTAAATAATGTGTAGAAGCCATTATTTTAAAGGCAATGAGTAACTCTGTAGGAAGAGCAAGAACTCATATTTATGAGTTTTGATTTAGAGATTCAAAGTTACTCTTAATTTGGTTGGATTTATAAAAAGTTACATTGTGTTACATTTGTTAATTGATTTGATGCCATTTATGGAGTATCTACACTGCACAAAGCTTAGTTGATACTGGGAGTATAGTTGTGGAAAAGATACATTGTTCTTGACTTTATTGGAGCTTATACTCTACCAACGAGACAAATACAAAACAATTATACAATAAATGGTATAAAAACTCTTGTGGTAAGCACTAAGACAATTTGGGAATGTTTTGAAAGTCCATAGTAGGGGATTCTAAGGCTTGGAATCAGAGCTGGCTTTCTTTCTTTCTTTCTTTTTTTTTTTTTTAAGATTTTATTTATTTTTTTGACAGAGATCACAAGTAGGCAGAGAAGAGGCAGAGAGAGAGAGAGGGAAGCAGGCTTCCTGCTGAGCAGAGAGCCTGATGTGGGGCTCGATCCCAGGACCCTGGGATCATGACCAGAGCCGAAGGCAGAGGCTTAACCCACTGAGCCACCCAGGTGCCCCCAGAGCTGGCTTTCTTTAGGAAGTGACATTGAGTTATTTATATTATCGTTATCATAAATGTTATTGGGGTGCCGTGTTTGTAGACCTGGAACCCACAGTCATTGATGAAGTTCGCACTGGCACCTACCACCAGCTCTTCCACCCTGAGCAGCTCATCACAGGCAAGGAAGATGCTGCCAACAACTACGCCTGCGGGCACTACACCATTGGCAAGGAGATCATTGACCTTGTCTTGGACCGAATTCGGAAGCTGGCTGACCAGTGCACAGGTCTTCAGGGCTTCTTGGTTTTCCACAGCTTTGGAGGGGGAACTGGTTCCGGGTTCACCTCCCTGCTGATGGAACGTCTCTCTGTCGATTACGGCAAGAAGTCCAAGCTGGAGTTCTCCATCTACCCAGCCCCTCAGGTTTCCACAGCTGTAGTTGAGCCCTACAACTCCATCCTCACTACCCATACCACCCTGGAGCACTCTGATTGTGCCTTCATGGTAGACAACAAGGCCATCTATGACATCTGTCGTAGAAACCTTGATATCGAACGCCCAACCTACACTAACCTTAACCGCCTAATTAGCCAGATTGTGTCCTCCATCACCGCTTCCCTCAGATTTGATGGAGCCCTGAATGTTGATCTGACAGAATTCCAGACCAACCTGGTGCCCTATCCCCGTATCCACTTCCCTCTGGCCACCTATGCCCCTGTCATCTCTGCTGGGAGGCTCAGTTGTATGCTTAGGTGAGTAACTTCATCTTTAAGATAAATAAAATAAGATTGCAAGTATAAAGTACTTAGCTTAGTGTCTGAGGCGTAGTAATGTCCCATAAATGGTGGCTAATATTATTATAAGATACATGCATTAATCTTTTATCTCTTTGTGTTTTTATATTATTTATAATAGGTACTTATAGTGACATAAAATACCGGTATTTAAGAGAGTAGATAATTGGCCCTTCCTTTAACTACACCAAATCAAAAAGTGAAAAATTTACAGCTAGTAGGCTGTTTGCTTATTGAAACTAAACTTCATGAACTACTAATTATTGATAATTAAGTGGGTAATTATGACCCTTAACATTACAATGAATACAATTCCTTCCTCTGTAGGTCATGTTTTTTTTTTTTTTTTTTTAAAGATTTATTTATTTATTTGACAAACAGAAATCACAAGGAGGCAGAGAGGCAGGCAGAGAGAGAGAGGAGGAAGCAGGCTCCCTGCTGAGCAGAGAGCCCGATGCGGGGCCCGATCCCAACCCTGGGATCATGACCTGGGCCGAAGGCAGAGGCTCTAACCCACTGAGCCACCCAGGCGCCCCTGTAGGTCATGTTTTTAAAAATAGTTTTTATGAATACATTTTTGTGGATTTTTAAAAAAAACAATCTCACAATGTATCTTTTATATAAAGATATTTGTTGTATGAGGTTTGCTTGAATTGAGGGGGTTGTATGTATTTAAAGTACATGTTACCTGTGGGGATGGAAAAAGTATAAGATCGAGTCTATGTTTTTAATTTTTCAGCTTCTGTAAGTAAACTTAGTCATTTTAAATACTTTTGTGTCACTCTTTGCCTATATAGTGAAAAATTCTGTAACTTTTAAAAAAAATCTGTAACTTTAAAAAAAAATCGACTAATGCATTTTCTGAGGATCTTTATAAAAGTAAAGCATGTAAAAGAACTAATTGAACAAACAAATATTATAAGGTTTCAAATAGAACTTTTAAATTATCTTAATTCCATGTTACTTAGAGTTATGATTTGCTGGCAAAACAGTATAAACTGTCCTTGTAACAAAGCAAAAAATGCCAGCAAGCAAACAAAAATCCTTTAAGGCCTTTTTGTTCTACATTTAAAAAAAAAATATTCTTCAGGTTTCTCCAGAAGCAAAATACCCACAAATTTGTGATTTTCTTTTTCTTGTAATTCGTTGTCATTGGCCAGAGTCAGGAGATTCATAGAATACTATTTGGAATATAGTAGTAAGAATATAAGACATTTGATTGAAGATGTTATGAAGATATATGGCCTTCTGCACTTGAAATTTGATCGATTTGGTGGATTTACGTGCTTTTCAGAGTACTTCCGAGGACAGCACTCAGCATGTAGTGAGGGCTCTTAGAAGCCCGTTTAGAAATTTACCTATAAAAATTGAAATCGGGTGGCAATTTTATGTAAGGCAACCCGACAGTCAATACTCCAAATATATAATTTAGTGAGTGGGATTTATGTAATAAGAGTGTTATTTTAAACTCTTAAGCGACTATATTTTCTTACTTGGTCCTAGAATATTACTGAGACTAGGAAGCAGGCAATTTCTGTAACAATTGTGTGGTACTCAAGATGACAAAGCAGATCACTGATAATTTGGTATCAATGCAGATCTTATTTTTTTCTTCTTCCATATTTTCAGCAGATTATTTTACTGGTTTCTTAATTCAAGTTGAGTTTCTTAGGAATCTTATTCTGTAGCTCTCAAGATGATTTAAGTATGCACTGAAAGAGTGGGGCTGGAAATAAAATTGCATAAGTGAAATTAAATTTTTTTCTCAACTTGCCAGTATGCATTTCTGGACATGGTTTTCCTTTATCTATTACAATTTCCTATTTGCTCTTCAGCAAAATTAGATCATGATGATTAAAATCTGTCCTCCTTGTTATTTTCTTTTATAACCTATTTGCAGTGGTCATGTTTTTTCTACTTCAGACAACTCGGCTTGGGTGTTCTAAGAAAGATAAAAACCTCAAGTTTATTTTAAATATTCAGATTACTAGTGTAAACTCCTTTAAAAAGGTAATATTTGGGTGGGGGTGCCTGGCAGGCTCAGTCGGTTAAGTGACCCACTCTTGATTTTGGCTTAGGTCATGAGATGAGCCTGCAGTTGATTCCACCCTGGACATGGAGCCTGCCTAAGATTGTCTCTCCCTCTCTGCCTCCCTACTCTCCACTCTCTCAAAATAATAATAATAATTTTTTAAAAGGTAATTTTTTTGGAGTAGAGGTTTAGGAAAATCTCTAAGAAACCAAAGTTTATTTATTTATTTTTTAGAAACCAAAACTTAGAATAAGTTTTTATTAGGCTAGAAGGATTTTTGGAGTTGATTATGGTCATTAGTGGCTCTGAAAAACAAAACAAAACAACACGGGACTGGGATTTTTAAAACTACCTTTTAAAAACACTATAATGTATGTCTGAAATTGAACTGCTCACAGACATGTAAAAATTAGGTTTGATTTAGAAGAATTCGAAGATTGCATCAAGTAAGGAGTAATCATTCCAAATTTGAGATCTGTAGGTGTAGGGAATACAAAGCCCTGTTGTGAGTGGATGGAAAGTAAACATTATTTATTTTACTGAATTGTGATTGGCTAAAAACCTTTTCTTTCCACGATATTCTCTAATAACTGAATCTGGAGCCTTTAGCCCTGTTTTTATATGACGAGAGAGTTTGAGGTATGTGCTAGTACTGAAAGTACTCAAATTGACCCAGAAACTAGATTTTAGGGACACTGAGAGAAGCCCTCAACAGGGCTTTTGACATTTCTTACAACAAAGCAATAGCGAGGTGTAAATCTCTGAAGAGTTTAAACATGTAATTAGTATCGTTGCAAACAGGAAGGATGAAAGGATGACAGTGTTTTCCTCATTTTCATTTGGAGTCATTTACTATTCTGCAGTGACTGTTTTCAGTGGAAAGTCTTGCTCTGCTTTGTTTTTAGTGGAAAGCGTTGCTCTGATTTGCTGCTGGGACTGTTGTTTCAGGTGAAATTTGGACTAATTCGGGTGGCGGGCACTATGTGTTCTGAAAAACATAGCTTCAGAGATGCAGGGTTTAACCTGGAGTTTATTTTGTGACCCAGGGTGGAACCAGGATGCTTCACTTTGGCCTCACCGGCCCCCCTCCCCCCATATATACTTCTGAGGGAGCGGCGAATAGAGAGGTGACCCTCAAATACTCTAAATGGTGTTACCAAGGGAGAGCATTCCTTTATCCCACGCTGCTCCTTATTTCTTAGCCTGGCTGGCCCCACAGCCCCCTTGGCAGCGTCGTCAGGTACTACTTTCCGTCTGTGGTGGTTCCTCCGACCCTTTCCCGCGGCTCCCTGCCCCCGCCCGCACCGGCGGAAGGAGACGCTCGGCGCTCTAGCCTGCGAGTGGATGGGGAGGCGGAGTAGTACTGTCCACGGTGAGGTAGCGGCAGCGGCCGGGGCTGCCTCAGGGCCTCCGACGGCGACGGGGGTGTGGGGATTTCTGTCAGTTTGTGTATGTATGTGGACGTGTCTGTAGCTACAGTCAGAGAGGCTGCTAGTCAGGGAATCTGGGGGAGTGTTGAGGACTGTGAGTGACCGAGGTCGCTGTGCCCTTCTGGACAGAGCGTCCGGTGCGCCCCCCAGTCCGCGCTCGCTTGCTCGCGGGGCTGCCGCGGTCCCCCAGTCCGCTCTCCTTAGCATGGGCTGCCAGTAGGAACAGGGTTTCACTGGTTCCCGTGCGGTGGAGGAGGCAGCAGCCGCTTCAGCAGTGATGGCTATGGCGGTGGAGACGCGGCTGGAACTGGTGGGGAAGCGGTTCCTGTGCGTGGCGGTCGGCGAGGAGGCTCGGCCCGAGCGCCGAGAGAGTGGACGCTGCTGGCGGGGCTGGCGAGCGGGGGTCATCCGAGCTGTGTCACACAGGGACAGCCGCAATCCGGACCTGGCGGTAAGAGAGCGAGTGCCCCTCAATCTCCCAACCCACACCCGCACTGCTTGTCTCTGGCAGCACCTTGTCTGGTTACCTCTGGCACCTCGCGCAGCCCAACCAGCTGGCGGTCACGCCCCTCTTTGGAACCGTCCGCTGCTTTGCCCTCATCCCCTGCTGGGATCTCCCAAGTCCTCCTGAGTAGTTTTCCCCGTGGAGCGGTGCCGGAGCGGGACTTCTGGGCTTCTCCATGGGCCCCTCCAGGCCCCTTGGCCGCTGTCTGGGAGGGGGTCAGCGCCCCTGCGGTGGCCGTGGAGACCTTGCCGAAAGGCGGGGCTGTGAGCCAGTGCCGCTGGGGCAGGTGGGGGGTGGCGGACAGAACACACACCACTCGTGGCGGTAGGGGGCCATCTTCATCAACATTTCTTTCCTTGAAAAAGTCTTACTATTCCAGGGGTTAGAGAATTAAAACTTAGGCAGTAAGGTTGCTGAAGGGGAGGGAGAAAAGCAAAGAGACACCTCTGTGGTGTTTCAGGCAGTCCTGGGATTCGTGTGCATTTTCCAGGCAAAAGCTGTGTGAGTGGTGGCATCTTGTTGCAGCCTTTTTTTTTTTTTTTTTTTTTTTTTAAGACAGATGCTTGTAATTCTAACTGGAAACGATGAAAATGAAATTTTTTTATTTGAAGGGCCACAGAAATTAACCAACCCCGCCCATTCTTCCTCCCTTCCTTCCTTCCATTTGTTTTTCTGTGGGGTTGTGGTTTTTTAGAAAGTGAATAGTATTTTAAAAATCATATACAATTTTAAATGAAACAAGAAATATTATAAATTAAAATGTTATGCCCTGCCGAACCTTAAGGGTCTTTTCTTTGCTTTCTTTTCCTTTCATATGATACTGCCAATATTTTAAGTAATGTAGGAATGTGTACCATTTCAAGAAGGGATATGCTTTTGATAGGGTTCCACGCACATTTTCACTTGGGGACAGGTTGGAAGGGGCAGAGTAGAGGCTAGGCATTGACTAATCTTCGCCAGGTTGATTTGGGAGTATATAATCCACAAAATTTATTGGTAGTGCCTTGGGGTATTTAATTTTTTACTGAAAACTTCAAACACGGTAATATTTTCTTTCCTTTTGTATATCTGTGAGTTTACATTTCCAAATACACTTTAATATCTACCTATACATGTGCATATCTATTTTAATATTTTTCTTGGTTTCTGACTGCTTTTGTGAACCCCTTTTTCATGACTGTACTCATTGGTATGGTTTCACTGGGCGTGTAGTAATGTTGACTTGATATTGCAAAATAGGCTTGTTTTGCTAATAGGTATTTCTAATAGGAAATAAGCAGAAAAAAGCTAATTTTGAAGATTTTGCTTGGTTATTTTCACTGGAAAGAAGAAAAAGCAAATCTTTAAAAAATTTCTTGTCTTATTGATTCTGTAGACTGTGTCAGTTTGGTAACCTTTTTGTGTAAAAGGCATGTCCTGAGTTTCTCTCTCTTCCTCTTACTGTGATACAATATTGCCTTGGCTTTTATGTGGAAGCTAGTTGGATTATGGCTTAGCATTTTAAAATTACTTCGGAGAAAACCTGGAATGATATTTTGTTTTCCACAGCATTTGATTTTAGTAGGTGAATGAAAATTAAGGAAATGTAGTTTTAAATTATGAGTATCACTCACGACACTCAAGTTATCAGTTAAATATATTAACAACTTTCTTGCATGGAAATTTAAATGATATAAAGAATGGATTTATGTTTATCGCCTTTTACAAATGTGATAAGCTGGGTATTTAAAAATGAAAAGTATATGTGGATGGTGGTAAGGACTAGAAAGAATAGGAATGAATTTTCTCAGGTGATGGAAGTGTTTTGTATCTTGACAGTTACAATGGTGTATGTATTAAAACTTGTTGAATTGTGTCCTTAATAGTTGCTTTTTACCATATACAAATTTTACATAAAAATGCATTTTGAACCATAACTATGTGAACCTCCAGCAGTTTCTCCTATTTTTAAAAAATTAATTTTGTTTAAGCACTCTTTACACCTATTGTGGAGCTCAAACTCACAACCCTAGGATCAAGGGGTGCTTGTTCTTGGGACTAAAAAACCAGTCAGATGCCCCTCCAGCAGTTTTCCTTTGTCTACAAGTCTTTATTTGAAAAATTTTTTATGTGGTGTAACTGAGTTTTTTCAGCCTAGAACCTACAATTTTAGAGTTATTCCCAAACGTTCTTACATTTTTCTTTTTTTTTTCCCTTTTATATTCCCTAAATTAAATGAAATGAAACATGGGTCAGGTTAGCAACAACATACTATAATTCTTCTAGACTTTTTTTTAAGATTTTATTTTTAAGCAGTCTCTACACCCAAGGTGGTGCTTGAACTCATAACCCTGAGATCAGGAGTTGCATGCTTCACTGACTTAGCCAGCCG